TAACACACTGTCTTGTTTATTGTGTTTTGGGAACTGCCTAGGATGAACTCCCTCCGCCCAAATCTCCCCTGATCAGCCTAGTTGGATCTTATGATGTGTACCTACCTAATCCATCCAACCCAGAGATGGCATTCAGTTCACATCTTGAAGTCCGAGAGTCATCTGGTGACTTCTCATCTGTGGATCTTAGCTTCCTACCAGATGAGTTGAGCCAAGAAAACGAAGGCGAGACTGTCATTGGAAGCGTGGATAAAATTGACAAAACCTGTAAAACGCCAAGTCCTCAAAGTAGATTGCCCTTACCTACGCAACAGGATGTGGGCCTGGCCTTAAATGGCAGCGGCATGTCAAGTTCCCAGGAACAATTGCACCCTGATAATGCTGACTCAGTCCAGGCCTCTCCAGAGGAACCAACCTCTGACCCCCTGGCATCTATAACACCCATGAAACCAATGACCCCTGTTTCAGAATGTTCTGGAATTGTGCCTCAACTGCAGTAAGTTGTTTATTTTTTTCAATGAGTAATGATTCTTGGTACACTATTTGTATTCCTAAGGTGATGACAAATGATTTCAGAATAATAAGTGTTGGTAAGAAAATTCCAGATTTCATTATTCCTTGTTTTATCAGTTATTAATGGATTATGTAAAATAAAGCAATAAGTCTTGATCTCCTGAGAGAAAGACTTAGCACAGTAAACATATTTTTGAAGGATTATATCATTTATACAAAAGCTGAATTGCTGAAAACTGTGGCTAGGGTGCTCTACACATAAGGATATAAAGATGTGAAGTTGGATTCAATATGTGAAGTGACTTGTGTTTTCCATTTTGAAGCATAGTTTTAGAAAAGATTTAAAATTTTAGTCACCCAGTTAATGATATTTATAAAAAGCGGTTTGAGTGCTTCACTTTGAGATTTTGCATTTTACCAAGGGCCACATTACTATACATTTCATATTGTTAAAATTCTCTCCCTAAACATGGGACATATCAAATGAAGAAGTTACTATGTTTTTGTTTCTTTTAAGTCACTATGTTTTCATTTAAGACAGTCGCCTTTATTGTTATTATTTTACTTTTTAACCCTGGCATAACTTTAAGAATATTGGCTCACTTCTTCAGGAATATTGTTTCTACTGTCAACCTAGCCTGTAAATTGGACCTGAAGAAAATAGCTTTGCAAGCAAAAAATGCAGAATATAACCCAAAGGTAAGATTTTTCAGGATTCCTTTCAATAGTTGGCTTCTCCTTACATTTACACTCCTCCCTGGGTTCATGCTACTGACTCACTTGTTTGTTTTTGAAAAGTGAAAAGCTTTTGGCAACTCAAAAGCAATTCTTTGAAAGACTAATGCTCTCAACCTCTGTTTGGAAATGATGGAAATAAGACTCCTCATGTGTTGCGAACACAGCTCTTGAACAGCTCCTAGAAGTTAACATCTTTCCCTGGCCGTTCAAAAAGATGACTATTTTCAGCATGACTACTGGGAAACGAACTCTCTCAAACTGTCACCAAATTCTTAGCCACAGACGTTCCTAATGGTTGCACCACCTCGTGACCCGTTGCATTTTCATTTGCAGGTTCTCCTCTTTCAGAGGCCCAACCATTTCAAATGTCAAGTCTAAGCTTCCACTTCCAGTCGGAGCCCCACCCCCACAAAAGCATACTAAAATCTATTATTTCCTGTATGCTGCCAAGGCCAGGCATCCCAGTCCCAGTAGCTTGTCAGCCCAAGGGAAGTAGACTTGTTCACTTGGTTGGCATTCAGAGATCCGCCATGCTCAGGGCTTTGGGAGAGTCACAGTGAGTTGGAGTTGATTTAACAGCAGCTGGGTTTTTTGTTGTTGTTGTTGCACTTAGGAACACAGTAACAAATAAGACCTGGTGTGGGGTTAAAGGGAAGAGGGAACCCCACAAAACATCACAGGTTCGGTAGGCTCAATTGTACAGCGATAAGTAGAGATTATAGTAAAGTGATAGAGAGCATGAGAGTTAAAAGATGGAGTCAAGTAATGGAGTCAGACGCAATTCATGGTAGCATTGCTCACCTACGCCCCGCTTGGTGGTCCTCGTGGAGGGGGCTTAGCCGTCAGAGTAGAAGCAGCTGCCTCGTCCTCCTTAGCCACCTTTTCAGCCAGCCACCCTCCTGAGAACCAGGGAGCCTCCTTATTTATTGCTAACCACACACCATATCACTTTAGGGGGATCTGATTACAGAGTCATACATCACAGAAAAGGGGCAATACAATTCATCCTAGAACAAGTTTGATCACTCTGGTGTCTCATACAATAAAACACAATTACTATTCTGGGAGGCATGGAGTCCCCTGATAGCGGACAATAACCTAAGTCACAAGGAGGGGTAGCACCATAGGCAATACAATCAATAGGAGGGGGATAACCTAGGGGTGTGCCCACATTTGTTGAGGGATAAACAGTGGTGTCTGCTTGATCTAGACAGCTGATAATGGCTACCTAACCTTGGTCACCCTTGGGCGGGTTTGACATCTCTGGTATCTCCTGCAAGTAAACAGACAACTGCTATCCTTATCAGAAGGGAGTGGGTCTTATTTAGGGTGAGTCAGACTATACAGTCTAGATGGCTGATGTCAGGGAGAATAACCTCTGACCTGCTTTCGCTGACCGCCTAGTGAACAGTCATTCTCAAGGTAAATCTGGCATATATTTTGGGGAGACAACTTAAGAGAAATCCTTCTGTTCCCCGCAACCTGGTTTCCTGGAGAAACGCTCATGGACTTGGGTGGAGACTTTATGGACCTTGATGAAAAGGCCACTTGAATAGGAACCCAGAGGACATTGCTAATCTCAACGATGTGCGAGTTTCGTGGAGGTGCAGGTGGTTAGTGCTGGGTTGCTAACCTGCCCAGTTGCTTCCCTGGAGAAAGCCTAGGCATCTTCTCCCATAGAGATCACCCTCCAGAAAGCCCTAGGAGCAGGGGCAGTTCCACGCCGTCAGATGGGCTGCTGAGTCGAAACAGACTTGTCAGCTTCCAACAGCACCTTCAATTGGCTGCTGTGACGATGGTGTTGAGATTGTTAGCTCAACTTCCACCCAAATATAGCCTTTCTCTTAGATTTCAGAAACGTGACTCGCTGCAGGGAGACCAGAACTTCAGGTTCTGGGCCCAGCAAGCTGAATGATGAGGCAGGATGGCCTCACTGCAGAAATGACTGAGCACACGTCTCAGCAATCGGCACCTTTAAGCAGGTTTTCTTCTCCACCAGTTAGGCTCCGTTCGAATTTAAGAGCCAAAGAAAGCCTGGTTTGACATTTTAAAAAACCAAATCAAACTCACTGTCAGTGAGTTGATGCCAACTCATAGCAACTCTGTGGGGCAGGATAAAACTGCCCCATGAATTTCTGAGACTCTCACCCTTGAGGGGAGTAGACAGCCCCATCTTCCTCCTTCATAAGAGCTGGTGGTTTTGAACTACTGACTTTGCTGTTACCTGCCCCATGCATAACCACTACACCAGCAGGAGCCCTTAACACTAAAAACTACCTTGTGAATATAAGAAAATGAATACCAGGGGAGACCATTACCTTTTGCAAATATGTGGAAACCATTAACAGAACGTGGTCAACTATGCAGTGCCAACCTAGGGCTCTTTTATTATCTGTGAGCACTTCAAATCTGAAATTTGTAGTACATTCTAACCTTGAAGGGGTCTAGTTCCTTGGGAATGAGCCTCAACTCATTAATCTGTAGTCCCGTATAGGCCTGACCCCATTTCCTTCCCAGCTTAATGAGGGATGACCATAATGAGAGCAGGTCATCTAAGGACAAGTCAAAGGGTGACGTAAGTGCCTCTCCCCAGGAAGGCTTGCTGATGCTGCTCGTCTGAGGACTACATTTTAAGAACTACGATGGGAGACAAGGTAGCTCAATTTTTGGTCTTTTTCATCATGCTTACAGGATCTAGAGTCTCGGCAAGCTTCCAACATACTTTTTACTTTCACAGCATCAATTTACTTTTGACTGTTGGAAAGAAAAATCAAGCATCTCAAAGTAAAAAAGAACATAGATTCTGGGTTCATGTGGTCTAAATCTTCACTTTCCAAATTTCCTGTGTAATCTTGCAAGTTAAATAACGTCTCTGATTTTGTTTCCCCATGCACTAACTGAGAGGAATAATGGATCCAACTCAGGTCTATTATGAGGATAAATGAGCTACACCTGCTCCACTCTTACCATGAGGCCTGAAATGGAACAGAACCTGGCATTTTAGCTGTTAACTGTTTATACTAACCTGTGTTTTTGTTTCATTTCCAAGTAAACTTTAGAAACAAAATTGTTTTTGTTCATCTTAATGTGAAAGAATAGCCGAGGCACCATTCTGTTTTTGCATCCAATCTTACTATCTTATTCCAGCCTGTCTTCATATGAGCTCAGCTCCTGACCTGGACTAGCAGATGCTAATTCTCACTTTGGCTTTTGTGTGTAGAGGTTTGCTGCTGTTATAATGCGGATCCGGGAACCCAGAACAACAGCCCTCATATTTAGCTCTGGGAAAATGGTCTGCACAGGAGCCAAAAGGTACTTGGACCACCCTTTACCCCTGCCAATAAATGTTCCCACATGTAGACTAAGGAGGGGAGCATTCATGTGCTAAAGCACATACACTAGGAGCTGGATACTGTTCTTTGCAGAAGAGCTAATTTCATAAGATGCTAAACGGTGGGTTACACTCAGCCCTGTAATATTAATTTATATCCCACACTTTACAATCCACTGACTAAACGGGTGGTGGAAGTGGGAGACACGTAACCCTTTCATGATGGCTTAGTTTTGAATTTCGATGCCACGTGCTTGCATGAATGGGAGACATGCTTAGTCATGAGAAAAATGATCAAGGCCATATATGGATCGTGACACAACTATGGGGACATGAGTCCCCAAGTGGATTCAGGTGGTAGGGTTGGTGGCATGAGGCCCATGTCCTCAGATTCATGCAGTTAATACAGGTCCCTGCCAGGTGGCAGCACAGACCACAACTGGGATAGCCGCTTCCAAACAAAGTTGAGAGGCTGAAAATGCTGTGAAAGGGTTCCGTGTGTATAAGTTGTTCTTCAGGTGAATTGGCAGGGGGGAGACCAAGACCCCAGTAAGATGAAGGATGTTATAAGCCCAGAGAAGTCATTTAAGTGGTTTCCTCGTTCCAGGTAATGGAGGATAGAACTGTCAGGCAAATTGGGCACTTCCTGACCATGACTGGCTCAGGATGCAGCTTCTAAAATGTTTCTGTCTCGGACCTCCTGCAGGGGAGTGGCTGTGCTGGTGAGGATTCTCTCACCATGAGCTGTGGTGGGAGAGAGCAGCGCTGGCCCTTAGTAACAGATGTGTACGCAGCAGATCATCCTCCTGAAAGTCTCTGCTCAGCCAGCCCCCTCTGGAGAAGTACTGAGGACTCACTTTCTCCTGTGGCCACTGGGCATTCATAGTCAATTTCATGTTTGGATAACTGACAAAACCAGCTGTTTTTATTCTATTTCTCTCATTCACTAGTCAGATTTATAGTGACGTTCATCAGTATGTCAGCTGCCTATATCTCTTGCCCAATTCCCTCTTCATCTTATATTAGTATATTTTGTATTTAAGTATTTTTATCATGTTCTTCTATAAATATTTCCCCTAGATGACTGTAGGGTATTTGATTTCATTTGACACAAAATAGTTTTTGTATATTCAGATCTATCATTTGGGTCTTCATGATTTATACATTTGGTATAATATAAATATTGACCTTCCCACTATACATTGCTGGTCTGTTTTGAGTCCTCTTTGTATGACAGCAAGGATAGTTGACGTTTCAGTTCAGCCCGAGCTTGGTAGAAACGCTGTGGCCCTGTCAGTAGATGTGGCTGTGACCATCTAAGGAGCCCAGGTAGCATAGTGGGCTGAGCACTGGGCAGCAGTTCAAACCGACCAGCCACTCTGTGGAGAGAGGTGAGGCTTTCTACTCCTGTGAAGACTTGACAGTTCTACTCTGTCCAGTAGGGTCACTATGAGCTGGGCGAGTTTGAATGAGGGGCTGAAATTTTCATTTAATTTAGATCAATTTTAAGTTAAATAGCCACATGAGGTTAATGACCAAGATATTGTGAGGAGCAGACATATAATTTTATTTTTATATAAGTGTAAGAGAAAGATTTTGCTTTCGAATGGTGTCAGTAGCTCAGTGCATTTATTGAATAATCCATTTTTACCCCGCGTCCCCCCTGCATGCTGTAAAATATGAAGGTCTTGGCATGCGTCTGAATTAAGTGTGGTGTGGGGGCTTTCTCCATTGCTGGTCTGTGTACTCACAGAAGTCTCTACTCCAAAAGCTCCTTTGACAGCTGTGCAAAAGTCATCTGCCAGGATGTTCATTTCGACACTTCGTTTTTTCTTGTTGTAAACACCACAGGGCTTTTTTGTCCTGGGATAAGACTGCATTGAGACATACATGTACATTGAGCTGGAAGAACGGTTGCCTCCTTGTGTTAAGTGGAGGTGGGGAAATATGGGCAGGCAACTAAATTGTACCTTTATTATCCAACTCTTGTTTTAAAATGTATGCAAATTTCTCCCACCCACACATGTTCATGCGTATATTTTCTATCTGAATTCTCTTAAAATCTGATCGTGAAAGCTTGAATGAGTTCAGATAGCAAGAGACACGTTTGAGTCTAGTTAGTTTTTGAGTATGAGTAGAAAGGATACCAGCTTTATTTCCAAAACTGTATCCTAACGTGTTTGTTTTAGCTGTAATTACAAGAGGGCCAGCTTGCATCTGCTTAGGAAAAGCATGAAGGGCCAAACTGAACAGCAGTTATCACCGTTGGAGGTGGAGTTCCGGGTTCTGAATCTAGTTTCTAATGTTTGCACACTGTACACACAGGTTGATTTTTAATTATGAGTGGTTTGGGGAGAAACTTCTGCGTTGTGTTGTCACTGTTAGGTGCCATTGGGTAGGTTCTGACTCCTAGCAAACCTGTGTACAACACAGGGAGACACTGCCTGCGCCATCCTCACAATTGCTCTTAGGTTGAGCCCATAATTGGAGCCACTGGGTCAATCCATCTCATCAAGATCTGCTGCTTTTTTTGTTGTTATTTTCACTGCCCCTCCACTTTACCCAGCATGATGTCATTCTTCAGAGACTGGTCTCTCCTGACAAAATGCCCAAGTATGTGAGATAAAGTCCCGCCATCCTTGCCTCTAAGGAGCATTCTGGTGGTGGTGGTTCTAAGACAGATGTGTGTTACAGTCACAGTAATTAGCCCAGGAAACATAAGGTCGTGCCCTCTTGGGAGTTTTAACCTCCAACATTAACACTTTGCAGAATGTAATGGGATCATTGGGCAAAATAGAAACCATTTATTTCACTGTTAACTTGGGGACAAAACCTTGCTAGAGAAATGTCCGGAGTTAGAGATGGGTACAGACATCAACATGAAAGGAAACTAAGTATCTGCAGTTACTGATGCTGCGCCTGGCCCCACCTGGAAGCCCAGTACGTGGTGCTTGCTCTGTGGTCTGTATTTGAGAGGCAGTGTTTGAAGGGTCTAGATAGGAAACCAATTGTGTTGGGCAGGGTTCTCTAGAGAAACGAAACCAGGACACATAATGATTACCCACTGGTTTATAATGCAAAAAACTCCCGTTAACTTCTCTATGGCCTCAATCTTACTACCAGTCTCGATGGCTGGTTTGCCCTAAATTCCACGAGGTTTGGGAGACGGACCCGTTGGAGGGGAATGAGATGAGAGGGTGTCTGTAACAGCAGGTTAGTCTCAGCTTCACCCCCAGTCTCCTGCTTTAAAGGTTAAACTCATAAGCAAGCAGCCACAAATCTCCAACCCCTGCCCCCAGCCTACCCCCAGGACACGATGGGGCTCTTTTGTCAGTGAAGGCTGGAAAACAAGGTGAAAATGAAGCCTTAAGTCTCAGGACAAAGTCACAATCTTCTGATCTAGGCTTAGGGTTGGAACGGGACAATGTCTCTCTTTTTTTTCTTTCTTTCTTATACTGGGTCTAAGTTGAATAATGATTTTGTGGGAAAGCCTGAGAAAAATTGGGCAGGATGTGAGGAATTTTAATGTGTTGCTCTTTTTTCAGTTTTCCATGAAGACCCAAGCCCTAACATCCTGTGCTTGCCACTATCTGCCCCTCAAACGGGCTTTTTAATGTCTCGTCACTTTTGTTGTGCCCATCTAAATGGCCAACTCTCGAGGGCCAAGTGGACCATTCTAAAATGACAGTGAGTGTCACTGTCCCCTGGAGGGCCCATCCCCAGAGTTTCTGCACATCTGAGGAAGGGCCAGAGATAAGGGGACCAGATTTTAACATTGGTAAAGCAGGACACCATTGATAAAACTCATATCCTGGCAAAACAGCCACATTGAAGCCAAAAACCATATACCCTAGCTTGTCGTGCATGCTTTCCAAAAATCGGGACTTTTTAAAAATGCCACAGGATGCGAGGGAAAAAATGTTAAAAATCAGGACTGTCCCGCCAAAAGCGGGATGTCTGGTCACCTTAGCCAGAGACCCTGCATTTCTAACAAGTCCCTAGGTGCTGCTGCCGCCGCTGCAGTGGTCCAGGACATACTTTAAGGACCAGTGGAATGGTGCATTTAGCCAGTAGTCCTTAAAACATGTTTTGTTTTGTATTTTAAGTTCTTATATGTGGAAGGTGACCAACGAAGAGACAATCTGGTTCTGGTTCAGTTGAACAATCGTTATGTATGCCACAGCTTTCACTAGGAGCTAGGGACAGGAGGTGGCTGCAACCGCGGGCTCAGCGTAAGAGCAACTGTGAGGATGGCGCAGGGTCAGGCAGCGTTTCCTTCTGTTGAACACGGGGTCGCTGTGAGTTGAAACCCACTCAGTGGCACATAGCAACACCGACACCAACAACGGGTCCTCTAAAGGGTGCTCTTAGTACACCGGGTTAAGCACTGAGCTGCCAGACATAGGTAGGGGGTTCAAACTCACCAGTCAGAGGGACTCGGCTCGGCAGCACCTAACAAGGGACAAAAGGAAAAGTCGGCAGTTGAAACCCACAATGGCTCCACGGGAGAAAAGACCCGGTGATCTCTTCCTGTACAGAGCGCAGCATAGGAACCCTGTTGGGGCAGTTCCACCCTTTGGGGTCACTCTGAGTCAACTGACTACACCCACAAGAGCAACTAAGGGACAATACAGAAGGTAGACCGTTGCATAGTATACATTGAAAGAGCAAGGCGGCCAGTGCTTAAACTACAGTTAGCATAAGAGAGATGTGTAGACATGGCATGAATCGTATGGGAGACCTAGAGATGAAAGCTCCTTCTAAACACGTTTGATCCCCCCCGCAGCGAGGAGCAGTCTCGCCTGGCCGCTAGGAAGTATGCTCGAGTGGTGCAGAAGCTTGGCTTCCCCGCCAGATTCCTCGACTTCAAGATTCAGAACATGGTCGGGAGCTGTGATGTGAGATTTCCCATCAGGCTCGAAGGTTTGGTGCTCACCCACCATCAGTTCAGTAGGTACGGCTGTTATTTTATCTGCATTCAGAATTTACTGAGATAGAAAATTATATCAAGGGATGCTTATATAACGTATCTTTCAGAGAGAGGTTGATTATTTAAAAAATAAAAAAAAACACACTTCCAAGAGGTGACTCTCCCTCACAGTTCTGGAGGTCAGATAGCTCAAATCACGGTGTTGGCTTGGCCATTTTGTTCCAGAAGGCACTGGAGTCTAGGGAATGCTCTGCTCCATCCCTTTTTCTTAGCTTCTGGTGTGCCAGCAATCTTTCACATTCCTCAGGGAAACTGTGCCTTTGTCACAAAAAGGTTCTCCTTGTGTATAAGTCTATGCCCCTTACTCCTGCGCGTCAGCTTATTTGGAAATAGGGTCTTTGCAGATGGAATCAATCCATCTTGAATTAGAGCCCAATCCACTGTGGTCTCATCTTAAAGTGATTCCAAATGAACTGATTTGTGATAAACTCATGGGTGATGTCCGTGCATACGTTGAGAAGCTCTGGTCTTTCGATGTATAAAGCAGGCAGACCTGGGCTGGTGTGATGGCAGTGGCTTGGGGGGAAGGGGTAGACATGGATGGATTAGGCAAGTGGGAAGGGCTGACAGCTGGTGAGGGAAGAAAGGGTTAGGAGAGGAAGAGGGACCACAGTGCTGTTTGGGGTTGTGTGTGTGTGTTTGGGGTTGGTTGTGTGTGTGTGTGTATGTGTGTGTATAGCTGTAACCTTTATCACGCTTCCTTTTTAGTTTTGTCTTTTTCCTAGGGAAATGTCTCTAGCCTGCGTGATTTCTTCAGTCATAACTTTCCATCGCGACAGCAAATGCTCCCCCGAGACCCCTTCCTTTTCTCACCAGCTCCTTCCCTCGGAGATCAGACGAGGTTGACTGATCAATGCCTCAGCCCCTCCGCCACCTGAGAATACACAGCTGGCCAAGACACCTGGGCTGATTTAGAATCGCACGATGCGCTTAAATGTTCTTAATCTAATTTAAACTTAGAGACCTGGTGCACAGTGTTTAAGTGTCAGGCTGCTAACTAAGAGCTGGCAGTTTGAACCCCGTGAGGGGCTCTGCAAGAGAAGGTCCCTGGGGACTTGCTCCTATAAAGATTGCAGGCTGAGTGCTTCCTTCAGCAATTAACTATGAGACCAAATGGGCAGCCATTACCCAGAAGCAAAGACAACAACAGAGGGCAGTCAGAAGAAGAGGCACTAAATCAAAGGAAATGGAACAGAGTGGGAACAATGAAAAACCTGGCACGTTGTAAAATTTGTCACCTCCCAGTGCTTTCTCTTACATCTGCCAGTCTTCCTTAGTCTGGATCTGAATGGAAGGGAATGTTGGTTTTGAAATGTCAGTACATTCTGAGATTTAGCTTTTGTGATTTTTTTTTCCGGGTGCAGTGTTTCTTTCC